CGGTCCCCAAGGGTCGCCGTGGCAATCTGGAAGCTCACAGAGAACGCTTGAAACGAGCTTGGCTTGGAGAGAACGTCAGGCGCGCGGTGGCCCTGGCCGGGGGACCCCGATGGCCCGCGCCCGTCCACAGGGCTTCTGGCCTTGTCGGCCCACGGGGACCCTCTGGTAGCTGCCCCCTTCTCCCCTTCCCCACAGCTTGGGGGTGGCCTTTTCTGATGACCTCGGCCCAAAGCACGTTTCTCCTCCTGAACTCCGGAAGCCTTCCTTGTTCCGGCCACTGGGTCCCCTGTCGGGTCCCCTCTGGCACGCTGCTCGGGGACAGACTGCTTGCCCAGCCGACCTTCTCCAGCACGTTGTCGTGCTCCAAGGTGTCGTCCNAGCCTGCCCATCCCCAGAGACGCAGAACATGAACCCAACAAAGGCAGGTGGATGGCACTGCAGATCCGACGGCCTGACGTCCGCCTGCCTGATGCCCTTCGGATCGCCATGGGCAGGCGCCAGCTGCCCCCGGCCCCCAGGATGCAGCTGGGGCTGTGGGTCATCCCGTCCCTTTTGGGAAGGCCCTGGCTTCCGCACGAGTGCGCTGCACTGGTGAGCAGCAGACCCGGAGCGGGCCCTGGCGGAGGCGGGACTTGGGGGACACCGGGGAAGTCCCCTCCCGTGCCAGCTCGCGGCGTCTGCCCGGGTGGCGGGTGCCCGTGGCTTGGGGGCAGGCGGCGACCAGGCGCCCCCCGCTTTGCTCTCGTGTTTCCCACCAGGTCAGCCAGAGCGTCACCCAGTTGGTTTCTTTTTCTCTCCCCGAAGGGGAAAGATCTGGAGGATGGATTGTCCCCCTCTCGGGGGCGGTGAATCCCTAGCTCGGGCTTTGTGGCCCCAGCGGCGGTCCCCAAGGGTCGCCGTGGCAATCTGGAAGCTCACAGAGAACGCTTGAAACGAGCTTGNAGGTGGGGCAGGAGGCGAGATAATCGGGGAGTTGGGGGAGTCAAGAGGTGTCAGCAGGATGCCGGGCTGATGTGCTCGGTGTTGGGGACGTTGGCAGGGAGCCCGCCAAGGAGGGCAAGCTGGCGGGCTGCTGGGCCGGGCACTGAGGCTCCACTGAGATTGGTGAGCGTGATGCCCAGGCTGGAGGGTGCGGTGTAGGGACTGGCTTGGAAGGAACTTGGGGCTTGAATATGGGAAGCCCAGTGCGGGCACCGGCAGGTGGGCGAGGGGCTTTCAGAGCCGGCACAGCTCTCACTGCGCGAGATCAGAGGTTCTTATGTACCGCATACTGGCATTTGCATTTTGAAGAATTAATCTTGTTCCTACCAATGCTTTTAGAATAGTTTTTGGAAAGAAAAAAACATGAATTAGCTATTATGAGACTTCTGAAGTTTCTATCTTTCAGTCCAGAAGCATGTCCCACTTTACAAAAAAATAAATATCCAAAGTAAGAGATGTATGAGGGGCAATAATTCATACTTCAGTTTGACAAGTGACTCACTAGAGTTTCTGCAGAGACATATCAGAATTTCAGAGGTGCACACGTTCACCCCCTACCAGATAACGGAAACAATGTAAAGTGAGTTCCAGGTATTTTTTTCAATGAAATAAAGCAAAAGCAAACAAAGTAGATATTGGCAAAGTATAATCACAAAAACAATTCTATGTGTGGATTTTTTTAAA